TAGAATTGGTGCAGTTTAATGTTGTTTGTGTTGGATTTTAATCCATTTTGGAGTAGTTTTGGAGTAGCCGTGGCCAAGGTTCGCGTCTTTCACGGATCGAAGCCCTCGCTGCAGCTGAATTTGCGTCAAAGCTGCTGTTTTCTGTTTCATCGTCTCGGCGGATTCGAACCACGTCCCCTTGAGCAGGGATTTCACTTTGGAGAACAGACAGGTCTCGAAGGTAGCTGAATTTTGCACTGTTAAGCGATAGTCGGCCAAGAACTGCTTCACCGTGCGCGCACTTTGAACTGGTGCATTGTCTAAACTGCGGAACAAACCGATTCTATAACAATTTCTACCTCGTTCTTCCCTTATTTTGCTACATTTTTCACGTGCAAGAAGTAAACCTTGCAAGGAAATACTATTTTTTTTTTATCTTACATGAAATTTTAGCTAGATTCAAGAATTCTACAATTCTGTTATCTAGTATTATAGAATTTAGTGTACCTTAACAAATTATTCTATCAAGACTATTCTTCAATTTTCATATAAAGAAGATTCAGGAATCTTTGTTTTCATCTTACTAGAAATTCTAGATAAATTCTACAATTGTACAATTATGTTATTTAGTATTATAAAATTTAGTGTAGCTTCATAAATTATTCTATCAAGACCAAGCTTCAGTTTCTACATAAAAAGATAAAAGGTATTTTTTTTTCAAATTACAAGAAATTCTAACTAAATTCTACAATTTTATTATTTAGTGTACCTTAACAAATTATTCTATTAAGACTGAGCTTCAATTTCCATATAAAGAAAATTCAGGAGTCTTTGTTTCATCTTAGAAGAAATTCTAGATAAATTCTACAATTGTACAATTCTATTATCTAGTATTATAGAATTTAGTGTAGCTTCATAATTTGTTCTATCAAGACAAAGCTTCAGTTTCCACATAAGAAGATTCAGGAATCTTTGTTTTCATCTTAGAAGAAATTCTAACTAAATTCTATTATCTAGTATTATCAAATTTAGTTTATCTTCATTATTCTATTTTTAATGTATCTTCATTATTTTCAATTATTCTATTAAGATCAAGCTTCAGTTTTCACACAAAAAGATTGAGGAATCTTTGTTTTCATCTTACTAGAAATTCTATATAAATTCTACAATTTTATTATCTATTAGTATTATAGAATTTAGTGTACCTTAAGAAATTATTCTATTAAAACAAAGATGTGCTTCAATTTCCACATAAAAAAATTCAGGAGCCATTTTTCCCCATCTAAGAAGAAATTCTAATTAAATTCTACAATTCAATTATTTAGTATTATACAATTTAGTGTACCTTAATAATACAATTATTCTATTAAAACCAATATAACATTCCTTCTCAATGAATATTTTCAAATAAACATGTAGGAACAAAAATCTTGGGATCAAGGATCCATGCAATGGGAAAATCTTCTCAATTTTAAATAATGTATAATTACTTAATATTATTCGCATTATTTTACAATTATGTCACTATTCTATGTTGGCCACCTTAAACAATAAATTCCTTTATACAAACTATCATTCAATCACCGTGAAATTTCAAAATTAAATTTACGCTAAAACTATCTTCACGATATCAATCGATGACAATAATAATACATGCACACGTGATTAAAATTAACCTGGTTAATAAACAGAATCTGATGTTTTTAAATGGAATGGAAAATAAAGAATGATTGCTTCAAATCCAACCAATCGATATTACATTTAAAGATCAAACTATTCTACGTAAGTTACTATCTAAAACAATATTTCACCGACATTTTGCGCCTTTGCAATGTTTATTACGCCCTTAACCAATTATCTTAACACTTTGACTGCTACGACACCTATATATATTAACAGTGAAACTAAAACAATTAATTCTCAAGTTGAAATGTTAAAAAAAATCAATTTTAACAAGCTTCGTAAATTTTAATGTGGTCACAAAAGTAACTACGACAACTGTTAAGTTGTGTAGTTTATAATTGCCTAAAAATCAAAGTACTGGTCTCGTAAACAATTTCAGGATTTTAGACTGGCAGTCAACGTGTTAAAGCGTTGATTATCTATCTTCCAGAGCCTTTATTCGTTCTATACAAACACGCTGTTTCTATAAAGGCAAGTTTGAACAGACTTGAATGTTTTAATTCCTATTTATCGAACTACGACAACTGTTAAGTAGTTTACAATTGCCTAGAATCAAAGTATTGGTCTCGTAAACAATTTCAGGATTTTAGACTGGCAGTCAACGTGTTAAAGCGTTGATTATCTATCTTCCAGAGCCTTTATACGTTCTATACAAACACGCTGTTTCTATAAAGGCAAATTTGAACAGACTTGAATGTTTTAATTCCTATTTATCGAACTACGACAACTGTTAAGTAGTTTACAATTGCCTAGAATCAAAGTATTGGTCTCGTAAACAATTTCAGGCTTTTAGACTGGCAGTCAACGTGTTAAAGCGTTGATTATCTATCTTCCAGAGCCTTTATTCGTTCTATACAAACACGCTGTTTCTATAAAGGCAAATTTGAACAGACTTGAATGTTTTAATTCCTATTTATCGAACTACGACAACTGTTAAGTAGTTTACAATTGCCTAGAATCAAAGTATTGGTCTCGTAAACAATTTCAGGATTTTAGACTGGCAGTCAACGTGTTAAAGCGTTGATTACCTATCTTCCAGAGCCTTTATTCGTTCTATACAAACACGCTGTTTCTATAAAGGCAAGTTTGAACAGACTTGAATGTTGTAATTCCTATTTATCGATCTACGACAACTGTTAAGTAGTTTACAATTGCCTAGAATCAAAGTATTGGTCTCGTAAACAATTTCAGGATTTTAGACTGGCAGTCAACGTGTTAAAGTGTTGATTATCTATCTTCCAGAGCCTTTATTCGTTCTATACAAACACGCTGTTTCTATAAAGGCAAATTTGAACAGACTTGAATGTTTTAATTCCTATTTATCGAACTACGACAACTGTTAAGTAGTTTACAATTGCCTAGAATCAAAGTATTGGTCTCGTAAACAATTTCAGGCTTTTAGACTGGCAGTCAACGTGTTAAAGCGTTGATTATCTATCTTCCAGAGCCTTTATTCGTTCTATACAAACACGCTGTTTCTATAAAGGCAAATTTGAACAGACTTGAATGTTTTAATTCCTATTTATCGAACTACGACAACTGTTAAGTAGTTTACAATTGCCTAGAATCAAAGTATTGGTCTCGTAAACAATTTCAGGATTTTAGACTGGCAGTCAACGTGTTAAAGCGTTGATTACCTATCTTCCAGAGCCTTTATTCGTTCTATACAAACACGCTGTTTCTATAAAGGCAAGTTTGAACAGACTTGAATGTTGTAATTCCTATTTATCGATCTACGACAACTGTTAAGTAGTTTACAATTGCCTAGAATCAAAGTATTGGTCTCGTAAACAATTTCAGGATTTTAGACTGGCAGTCAACGTGTTAAAGTGTTGATTATCTATCTTCCAGAGCCTTTATTCGTTCTATACAAACACGCTGTTTCTATAAAGGCAAATTTGAACAGACTTGAATGTTTTAATTCCTATTTATCGAACTACGACAACTGTTAAGTAGTTTACAATTGCCTAGAATCAAAGTATTGGTCTCGTAAACAATTTCAGGCTTTTAGACTGGCAGTCAACGTGTTAAAGCGTTGATTATCTATCTTCCAGAGCCTTTATTCGTTCTATACAAACACGCTGTTTCTATAAAGGCAAATTTGAACAGACTTGAATGTTTTAATTCCTATTTATCGAACTACGACAACTGTTAAGTAGTTTACAATTGCCTAGAATCAAAGTATTGGTCTCGTAAACAATTTCAGGATTTTAGACTGGCAGTCAACGTGTTAAAGCGTTGATTATCTATCTTCCAGAGCCTTTATTCGTTCTATACAAACACGCTGTTTCTATAAAGGCAAATTTGAACAGACTTGAATGTTTTAATTCCTATTTATCGAACTACGACAACTGTTAAGTAGTTTACAATTGCCTAGAATCAAAGTACTGGTCTCGTAAACAATTTCAGGATTTTAGACTGGCAGTCAACGTGTTAAAGCGTTGATTACCTATCTTCCAGAGCCTTTATTCGTTCTATACAAACACGCTGTTTCTATAAAGGCAAGTTTGAACAGACTTGAATGTTGTAATTCCTATTTATCGATCTACGACAACTGTTAAGTAGTTTACAATTGCCTAGAATCAAAGTATTGGTCTCGTAAACAATTTTAGGGTTTTAGACTGGCAGTCAAAGTGTTAAAGTGTTGATTACCTATCTTCCAGAGCCTTTATTCGTTCTATACAAACACGCTGTTTCTATAAAGGCAAATTTGAACAGACTTGAATGTTTTAATTCCTATTTATCGAACTACGACAACTGTTAAGTAGTTTACAATTGCCTAGAATCAAAGTATTGGTCTCGTAAACAATTTCAGGATTTTAGACTGGCAGTCAACGTGTTAAAGCGTTGATTATCTATCTTCCAGAGCCTTTATTCGTTCTATACAAACACGCTGTTTCTATAAAGGCAAATTTGAACAGACTTGAATGTTTTAATTCCTATTTATCGAACTACGACAACTGTTAAGTAGTTTACAATTACCTAGAATCAAAGTATTGGTCTCGTAAACAATTTTAGGGTTTTAGACTGGCAGTCAAAGTGTTAAAGTGTTGATTATCTATCTTCCAGAGCCTTTATTCGTTCTATACAAACACGCTGTTTCTATAAAGGCAAATTTGAACAGACTTGAATGTTTTAATTCCTATTTATCGAACTACGACAACTGTTAAGTAGTTTACAATTGCCTAGAATCAAAGTATTGGTCTCGTAAACAATTTCAGGATTTTAGACTGGCAGTCAACGTGTTAAAGCGTTGATTATCTATCTTCCAGAGCCTTTATTCGTTCTATACAAACACTCTGTTTCTATATAGGCAAACTTTAGTAGACTCGAATGTTTTAATTCCTATTTATCGAGCCTTGAGTCGATTCTGGATTCTCTGGCATAGCTATGCAAGCGGAAGAAAGGTCTTTGCAACCTTCCACGAACGAATTCCCGTTTTCGTTGGTGTCCCTTTCGAACGCATTGTCGGCGATCCCATCGACTGCTTTGCCATTTCTCACTGGATTATTGGCGGCGAGGCGAGTGGCGTCCGTTCTGTCGGAATTTATGGTCCCCGCCGCGGCTGACTCCCGTGGTAAATTTATAACGATATTAGGCTGTTGCAACAAATACGAAAAACAAACAAAGAATTGTAAACGATTCGCTAGTATTCGTGATTTCGTGATTTCGTGATAGAAAAGCTACGAATTCCCGCGAATAAAAGGGAACGCGTGTGTAATTTAATAGCCAGCGGCTGTAAATCACGCGAGAGTGTTATAAATCATGCATATTTTAATCGATAACGGTTATCATTAGCAACATTAATCCTGCTGCGCCCTGTTGCACCGAATTTTATAATACGTATAAATCTGTTATGAGAATGATTTACTAAAGTGTGTCCAATTTGCATTTCGAGCAATACGTTTCTTATTTAGTGATCATTCAAGGTTCAATGTTAAATGATTGTATGAAAATTAAAAAAAATTCAATGTTAAATGATTGTGTGAAAATTAAAAAAAATCGACGTCAAATTATATTCCATGAAATGCAGAATGTTTCATTGTTTCTAAATAAAAATTCAAACGTTAAATAATTGTACGAAAATTTAATTTATCGATCTCTTATGCTTGATGGCTACGAATTATATCTAAAAATTTGCATTCAATAATCGTAAATTACATAGATAATTATATTTGGTAAAATGCAGGAGGAATAAAAAATTCAATGTTAAATGATTGTGTGAAAATTAAAAAAAATTGATGTCAAAAAAAAATTCAATATTATTCAATGATTGTGTGAAAATTAAAAAAAAATTCAATGTTAAATGATTCTGTGAAAATTAAAAAAAAATTCAATGTTAAATGATCGTGTGAAAATATAAAGAAAATTCAATGTTATATGATTGTTGTGAAAATATAAAGGAAATTCAATGTTAAATGATTGTGTAAAAATTAAAAAAAATTCAATGTTAAATGATCGTGTGAAAATTCAATGTTAAATGATTATGTGAAAATTAAAAAAAATCGACGTCAAATTATATTCCATGAAATGCAGAATGTTTCATTGTTTCTAAATAAAAATTCAAACGTTAAATAATTGTACGAAAATTTAATTTATCGATCTCGTATGCTTGATGGCCACGAATTATATCTAAAAATTTGCATTCAATAATCGTAAATTACATAGATAATTATATTTGGTAAAATGCACGAGGAATAAAAAATTCAATGTTAAATGATTCTGTAAAAATTAAAAAAAAACTATGTCAAAAAAAAATTCAATATTAATCAATGATTGTGTGAAAATTAAAAAAAAATTCAATGTTAAATGATTCTGTGAAATTTAAAAAAAAATTCAATGTTAAATGATCGTGTGAAAATATAAAGAAAATTCAATGTTATATGATTGTTGTGAAAATATAAAGGAAATTCAATGTTAAATGATTGTGTAAAAATTAAAAAAAATTCAATGTTAAATGATTATGTGAAAATTAAAAAAAATCGACGTCAAATTATATTCCATGAAATGCAGAATGTTTCATTGTTCCTAATTAAAAATTCAAAAAAACGTTAAATAATACGAAACTTTAATTTATCTTTATTTTTACGGTCTCTTATGTTTTGATGACTATGAATTATATCTGAAAATTTGTATTCAATAATGATAGATCACATTTTATAATTCTGAGGTTCGATAAGTCTGAATCAACCCTTAAATGGATTATTGGGACCACAAGTTTGAACTAATAATTATTTCATATATGTCAATGTAATTATTTAAAAATTTCTGTAATCTTCCAATAAGTTTATTATTTTTTGAATGCTTTAAAGTTGATTTCCATTTACCAAAAGTCAATGTTAAGTAAAATAAGTTGAGATTGAGAGTCCACTTGGGGGTGAAACAGATAACTTTTTTAACTAAGTAATTTGGAACGAAATTTCCAATTGTACCTGTAATTGCAGGACATTTTCGAATCCTATGGTGGCTGGTCTAGGTGTCAGCTGTCTGGTTGAGTTATTGGTAACGAGTTGACGCTGAATGTCGCTTTGAATCTGATAGATCGACCTCGATCGTCTTGGGACTTCCGCCGGAAGCACCCTCCGTCTTTGCTTCGGCAGTTTGCTACGAGCCTGCAATATTTTCACGCCTAAAATTCGGCACAAAATTCTGCACTTATTTTCCATTGCACAGAATCGTTCAGAAACGTCGATAAAAGGTCAAAAATATCCACTGTTCTCAGTGTCGCGTTAATAATCCTCTCTAACGCAATATCAAAGTATCGAGGAAGGTTTCGAACGCGGCACACGCATTCCAGTCTTTAATTTCCACGTTGTTTTCCAAAGAACTTTCCGGAAGTGCTCTCGTACAGGGAACTTCTGAACTGCTTGGGAGCTCCCGAGCACCGAATTCCGGTTTCAAAGTGACTCTTGGTCAAGGTTCCCGGCGTTAGGGATGCGGAGGTAAAGCAAAACAAACAGAAAAGAACGTTTCCCGAACTTTCGACGATCTTCTTCGAGACTCGAATAAAAATTCTACCCAAGTTGCAATTATAGAGAATCACTCATAAAATCAAATAGATGCAAAAATTGAAAACTCAAAATTATCTTAAATTCAGAGAAATAAATTTCTCAAAGGAATAAGAAAACAAATATTAATCAAATATTGGTGGAATTGATATAATTGGATGAAAGTTAACAATTATTGTAGCAGTAAAGAATTATAGGAAAGTGGGATCGTTTTTAGAAAATGGCAGAAATATAAAAATCAAAATTGTATTAAATTCAGAGAAATAAATTTTTCAAAGGAATAAGAAAACGAATATTAATTAAATATTGTTGGAGTTAATATAATTGGATGAAAATTAACAATTAATGTAGCAGTAAAGAATTATAGGAAAGTGGAATTGTTTTAACGAAAATGGCAGAAATACAAAAATCAAAATTGTCTTAAATTCAGAGAAATCTCAAGGAATATGAAAACAAATATTAATTAAATATTGTTAGACAATATTGTAGCAGTAAAGAATTACAGGAAAGTGGAATAGTTTTTAGAAAATGGCAGAAATAAAAAATTCAAAATTGTTTTAAATTCAGAGAAATAAATTTCTCAAGGAAGAAGAAAACAATTCTCTATTAATTAAATATTATTAGAATTAATATAATTCAATTAAAATGAACAATTATTACAGCAGTAAAGTGGAATCGTGTTTAGAAAATGGCAGAAATACAAAATTCAAAATTGTCTTAAATTTCTCAGGGAACAAGAAAACAATTCTCCATTAATTAAATATTATCAGAGTTAATATAATTCCATAAAAATGATCAATTATTGCAGCAGTAAAGAATTCCAGGAAAATGGAATAGTTTTTAGAAAATGGCGGAAATACAAACCTGAAAATTGTCTTAAATTCAGAGAAATAAATTTCTCAAGGAACAAGAAAACAGTTCTTTATTAATTAAATATTATTAGAGTTAACATGATTCCATAAAAATGAGCAATTAAGAATTACAAGAAAGTGGAATCATCATTTTCAAAAAATGGCAGAAATCTCAAAATCGTCTTAAATTTCTCAAATAACAAGAAAACAGTTCTCCATTAATTAAATACTATCACCCTTAATATAATTCCATAAAAAAATGAATAATTATTTACACCAGTAAAGAATTACAATCGTTTTTAGAAAATGGTGGCAGCAACAGTGAAATCTCGAACAGTTAAATTTTTCATTTTTGTTATTCACATATAGGACAAAACTCTATGGAAAGTTCCGTGTCGATTAATTGGATATGAACGCGGAACTATAATAGTTTCGAATGCGCGGGCCGGCCATTTCGGAAGTTCGTATATAAAATTGTCACGGGCGAGAACTTCTTCCCGGTGAAAGTTTCAAATTGGTTACCGAAGGGAGGAAAGTTTACATGTTGCGCCGGAATGAACTTCCGCTTCCGTGTCCTCGGTGGGCACATATTCATTGTACACAATCCCCGGGAGTCATAACAACTTGATCCGATAAAAAAAAGAAAATCTTGACGCCGTTGGGAACTTCTGCAACGTGATAAAACTTCAACAGCCGCCCGTACAATGGGCGCCGCCATTTACGGGGTATTAAAAATGGCCGGGGAATCGACGCTCGATGTTTGCGCGGGAAAAATCGGTATTTTCAAACTCGGTACCACAAAAGTGTCAAATATATTATTTATTATACTATTAATTTCTTAAATCGATGACGTGAGTGAATTTTAGAAACAATACTCTTGCAATAAATATTAATTATAATTGAAAACACTGCAATGGAAGATAATATTACCATTTCCTGAATTATATTTTGAGTAAATAAAAATAGAAGTTTTTGATTAAAATTTTCATCGCGAGCCTCCATTTTTGTGAACGTTTGCATTCAAATATCTATGTTTTGTTTCCAAAAAATTTTCCAAAATTAAGTTTCTTAGAGTTCGTGAGTTCGTGAGACTTGGCTTTGTTAAAATATTATACGTTTGCAACGTAATCGTTCGACAACGCAGGATATTCGAGGCAGTCAATATTAACAGTTTAGTGTTCTCGTGCAGTCCGTGTGGGCGGAACAAAGTAACCGTGTCTATTTATTTCTGTTTGATCGAGTGGTTCTTGAGGCCATTTCGTTTGTGAGTGCTCGACGTGGCTCTCACCGGTGAGGGCTTTACAAACATTGCTCCGGGTACATTTCAGATACACCCAATCAACGCGTTCGCGCACTGTTCAAACTACCAGTATGATATCCACGCTGGTCGAAACGCTCCTAAAACCGCGAGCCACGCGACAAGTCGAAACTCCAGTTGATGTGGGGCTACTCGACGCCATTATGGTCCCATCTTAGAAGTCGAATTGGAGGAGATTCGATCGTCCAATAATTATGAAACTTGGAAAAATTAACACCGACGATGTCTTTGGTATGTCTATGAAATTCTTTTTTGAATGTAATAGATTTTAGAAAAGGACCATTTTTTGGACGTTATGTCTAACAATAACTTGATTACTGGTTGAATCGTGTCTTTAAATTGCGCGACAAGTCGAAACTCCACACGATGTGGGGCTACTCGACGCCATTATGGTCCCATCTTAGAAGTCGAATTGGAGGAGATTCGATTGTCCAATAATTATGAAACTTGGGCAAATTAACACCGACGATGTCTTTGGTATGTCTATGAAATTCTTTTTTGAATGTAATAGATTTTAGAAAAGGACCATTTTTTGGACGTTATGTCTAACAATAACTTGATTACTGGTTGAATCGTGTCTTTAAATTGCGCGACAAGTCGAAACTCCACACGATGTGGGGCTACTCGACGCCATTATGGTCCCATCTTAGAAGTCGAATTGGCGGAGATTCGATCGTCCAATAATTATGAAACTTGGGCAAATTAACACCGACGATGTCTTTGGTATGTCTATGAAATTCTTTTTTGAATGTAATAGATTTTAGAAAAGGACCATTTTTTGGACGTTATGTCTAACAATAACTTGATTACTGGTTGAATCGTGTCTTTAAATTGCGCGACAAGTCGAAACTCCACACGATGTGGGGCTACTCGACGCCATTATGGTCCCATCTTAGAAGTCGAATTGCAGGAGATTCGATCGTCCAATAATTATGAAACTTGGGCAAATTAACACCGACGATGTCTTTGGTATGTCTATGAAATTCTTTTTTGAATGTAATAGATTTTAGAAAAGGACCATTTTTTGGACGTTATGTCTAACAATAACTTGATTACTGGTTGAATCGTGTCTTTAAATTGCGCGACAAGTCGAAACTCCACACGATGTGGGGCTACTCGACGCCATTATGGTCCCATCTTAGAAGTCGAATTGGCGGAGATTCGATCGTCCAATAATTATGAAACTTGGGAAAATTAACACCGACGATATCTTTGGTGTGTCTATGGAATTCTATTTTTAATGTAATAGATTTTAGAAAAGGACCATTTTTTGGACGTTATGTCTAACAATAACTTGATTACTGGTTGAATCGTGTCTTTAAATTGAGGGGGGCTTGAAACTTGTTGTAATATAGGTTTAGGTCTTTGTGAGGGTTGCAAATTTATTTTGAATGACTGTTACAAAGCACCTAAATTTCTATTTGAAATAATTCATACAAAATATATTTTCTCGTTAAAAATTAAAAATTTTGTACCATCTGTCTTTGTCAAAACTCCCTAAGCTTCCCAAAGAGACTTCTAAATGGCTCTTGATTAGTTTTTTTTCTTTATGCAACAAAGGAATTACGAAATTACGAATACTGAAATTATGGAACTGTCTGAAAAATGATAATGAGGGTGATCTAAGGTAAAACAGAAAGTGCATTGAAATGAACGATGTCTTCCAATGGAAAATTAACATTTTTTTTTACAAAAACGATTTTATATTTTTAAAAATGATTTGTTTGACGTGATACGAACCTGAGTGTGGGAGTAAAACATGGAGAAGTTACTGACAATGACGGGGACCGGAAGTGCGATGGCCAGGACCCCCGTGATGGCGCATAGACCTCCGATGAACATCCCAGGGAAAGTTTTTGGCGTCATATCCCCGTAGCCAACAGTCGTCATGGTAACCAACGCCCACCAGAGACCACGCGGTATACTGTCGAAGTCATTATGCGGGTTATCCTATAGCCAAAGACAAGATAACACAGTGTGGGTAACAAAAGTGAACGATATCGGTGAAGAAGTTAGGGTCGAAAGCAACGTGGCTCCTCGTACGCGATTAAATAATCATCAGACACTCGTTCGAGCTATCGAGATTGGAACGAGATTGGAAAACATTGTTTTGCTCCTAATCAAATCGCCAGAAAAAATATTCGTTTCGAATAATTACTCTTTATCTGCATTATGAGAGAAATAAAAAAATAGAAAATAAATTTCTGGAAATTCAGGAATAAATTTCAGAATACACTTTTTTTCTTTTTGAAACGATCTTTAGTTTTGACGAAACAGTCAAATCGCGAGAAAAAATATTCGTTTCGAATAATTACTCTTTAATTGCATTATGAGAGAAATAAAAAAATAGAAAATAAATTTCTGGAAATTCAGGAATAAATTTTAGAATACACTTTTTTTCTTTTTGAAACGACCTTTAGTTTTGACGAATTACAAAGCGAAATCGACAACAAGTTTGAAATTTGTGTTATTTTTAATGAAACGTCAAATCCTTTAATTTTAATTATTACTAATTTTCTCTATTTTTTAATCTGCATTTTATTTGATATTTTATTGAATTCGACGAACATCTTACGAATGAAAAATGCTGCTCGAAAACCTCATTAATTATTAATTCGTTCAACCAACAACAGGTTTGAAATTTGTCTTATTTCCAACGAAAAGCAGATCAAATTTCTGGATGCAGAAGTCCCTTGCACGCGATTTAAGCACGATTAAAGTGAATTTAACAGGGAAACCACGTACCGTAAAGCACCGAGTAACACGTATTTACAAAGTTACGTACACAGAAAGGAGCGAATAGCAATTACTTCGAATCGCAATTAAATTTAATGCTCGACGCGTTGGGCAATACCGCGATCCCTCGGGGGGGACCGTGAACGACGAAGAAAATCGAGAACGCGGAAACGAAAAATTGTCTCGTAGGAGAACAACGTCTGCAAATATTTGTCCGAGTGCTCGTGTGTTGCGACTCGATGGCAAGTTTTCTCGATTTTTATATGCACTTGTTTGTTCGAAAGATACCGGAAGTGTCGGGGCAAACGGAGCAGGGAACCGTTTCACCGGTTGCTAAATAAAAATGTCGAAACGCTGACGATTCCCAGTGTTACGCAAAAAAAAAGAGAAAAGAAACAGTTTCGAGCATTGGAAAAAATATTTTTCGAATTTGAGTTTCTTTGATGCAAAATTGTAGACAGAGGTTGGACCATGTTTTTGTTAAAATATTAAAATCTAGGGTTGCATGACTCGATGAACACTGAAACCATTGGTAAGCTGATAATTTGCGTTCAATAGCTTTTCTTGAAATTTTGAAAAATAGTAAAGGAAGTATTTGCAATTTGCAATTTGCAATTTGAGTGGTTTGGTGACGCTGATCCAATTGTTAAACAGTTTTCTGTACACTCTCCTTGTCAAGGATGCATTATTTAATAGAACAGTATCAGAGAAACAATCTAAACTACCTAACTTCACTATTTATCAAATCCTCGGATACCACTGGGAGAAAAAGGGTTGAAAGAGGGAGCAACGTTATTGCAACGACGTGGAAAATATTGGAAGCCTGATTATTCTGGAGATCAGCACGTCCGTTCATAAATATTTGGACACTTAATGGAACCTGATCCAGAACCTTTTATCATCATTATAATGTAAATATCTTGAGATAGAATTAACGTCCATGGCTATTATTGACCTTAAGGAAGAACTAAGATGCATTACGCGTTATCCTCTCGAAGCATTGTTTTCCAAACGAAAATCAATGTTTTTAAGATGGTGTTAAAAGGCTATTGAAAAGCTCCACGGAAATAAGATAAATTACCGGCTCTAAGCGCGATAAAATCGATGCATAAAGCCACGTGTGGGCTCCGGGTACGAGTGTCCAAACATTTACCAGAGCGTTCATCTATTTTGCAACTAGTTTTCTCCGAAAATAAACTCACTTGAAGCCGTTCGGCGTAGAAGATGAGGCTGGCGAAGACGACTATGCCCAGCACGAGGAAGAAAACAAGCAACGCGAGTTCCTTGGCGGAGGCTTTGAAGGTGTGGATCAGTATCCTGAGACCCGGTGAGTGCCTCGTCAGCTTGAACAGCCGCAGGACTCTGGCTATCGACAGGACCTCCAGGTACAGGCTAGACTCTGTCAGGAACTCGGTGTAGAAGCTCAGAGTCGCTGTTAAGTCGATCGCGTTCACCGGCGACACCGCGAATCTCTTCAGACTTGGGCTCACCTGCAATCGACATCCCCTAGATGATTAAAAGACTTTGAAAAAAATATAAAAAGTAGGTTGTGGCAATGGCGAACCAAAGGCGGGACAAAATTATCTTGGGAGTAGCAATCGAGTTGAGAATATCATTTACCCAATTGGGAGAAATATCCCCTATGTTTGGGTGCTCAAAAAATAATAAGAAAATGACTACCTCTTGTCAATTTTTTTTTTTAAATTCGTTTTTCATTTTTGATAAATTTAGTTGACGCTGTAGGGAAATGTTGTGTAATATATTTTTGTAGATATCCATGAGCTCTACTACCAAAATAAATTTCAATTAAATCCATTCACTATTGTAGAAGTAATGAACGTTTGAAACTTGGACCACATATGGGGGTTGGTTTTCTCACTTTACGGGGTTAAGGATCAATTTTTTGAATAGTTTTGGAATTTCTACATATTCTCCATTAAAATACGCGTCGTTTGCATTTTGAAACATTAAAATCCGACAATCCGTTCGGGAGTTATGATTTTTTAAAGATACGCATGAAATTTCAGTAGAAGGTTTCATATATGGTCAGACAATATATTTTCGTTAATGAATTTTTTTCTCGAAAGTGCGTAGGATATCGGGGTTATGTCTATTCACCAAAAATGATTGTAATCCACCCCTGCAACTGAAAATAATTTTTTTAGAATAATTTGATATTTTTTTTTTGGCAAAAATTTTCTACACCTGTCGATTTTTCTTGAAGTTCGTTTCTGATTTTTAATAAATTTGTTTGACGCTGTACGGAAATATTGTGTAATACTTTTTCGTGCATATCCACGATCTCTACTACCAAAATAAATTTCAATTAAATCCACTCACTATTGTAGGAGTTATGGTCGTTTTAAAATTGGACCATTTTTATGGGCTTTTTTTTTCATTTTACGGAGTTTAGGAGTAACTTTTCGAACATTCTTGGAATTTCTACGTATTCTTCACCAAAATACGCGTTGTTTGCCGTTTGAAACATTAAAATCCTTCCATCCCTTCAGAAGTTATGACATTGTAAAGATTCGCACGAAATTTAAGGGGAATTGGTCAGACATTGGTCAGTCATTGTATTTTCGCTAATGAATTTTTTTCTCGAAAGTGCGTAGGATTTCGGGGTTATGTCTATTCGCCAAAAATGATTGTAATCCACCCCTGCAACTGAAAATAATTTTTTTAGAACAATTTGAAATTTTTTTTTTGGCAAAAATTTTCTACACCTGTCGATTTTTCTTGAAGTTCGTTTCTGATTTTTAATAAATTTGTTTGACGCTGTACGGAAATATTGTCTAATACTTTTTGGTGCATATTCATGAGCTCTACTACCAAAATAAATTTCAATTAAATTCATTCACTATTGTAGAAGTAATGATCGTTTGAAAATTGGACCATATATGGGGATTGGTTTTCTCACTTTACGAGGTTAAGGAAAAATTTTACGAATATTTTTACAATTTCTACGTATTCTTCACCAAAATACGCGTTGTTTGCCGTTTGAAACATTAAAATCCTTCAATCCTATCAGAAGTTATGACATTTTAAAGATTCGCATGAAATTTAAGGGGAATTGGTCAGACATTGGTCAGTCATTGGATTTTCGTTAATGAATTTTTTTTCTCGAAAATGCGTAGGATTTCGGAGTTATGTCTATTCACCAAAAATGATTGTAATCCACCTCTGCAACTGAAAATAATTTTTTTAGAATAATTTGAAATTTTTTTTTGGCGAAAATTTTCTACACCTGTCGATTTTTCTTGAAGTTCGTTTCAGATTTTTAATAAGTTTGTTTGACGCTGTACAGAAATATTGTCTAACACTTTTTCGTGCATATCCACGAGCTCTACTACCAAAATAAATTACAATTAAATTCATTCACTATTGTAGAAGTAATGATCGTTTGAAAATTGGACCACATATGGGGGTTGGTTTTTTCACTTTACGGGGTTGGAGGATCAACTTTTTGAATAGTTTTGAAATTTCTACATATTCTTCACTAAAATACGCGTTGTTAGCATTTTGAAACATTAAAATCCGTCAATCCGTTCGGGAGTTATGATTTTTTAAACATACGCATAAAATTTCAGTAGAATATTTCATATATGGTCAGACAATATATTTTCGGTAATGAATTTTTTTCTCGAAAGTGCGTAGGATTTCGGGGTTATGTCTATTCACCAAAAATGATTGCAATTGACCCCCGCTTACAAAAATAATTTTTTCAGAACGATTTGAAATTTTTTTTTTCGTCGATAAATTTCACACCTTCTTGAATTTTTTTCTAGAAAATGGGTAGAATTTCAGAGGTATCTCTATTCACCAAAAATGATTTTAATTGACCTCCGCTTACAAAAATAATTTTTCAAGAACGATTTGAAATTTTTTTTTTCGTCGAAAAATGTCACACCTTCTCGAATTTTTTTCTGGAAAATGGGTAGGATTTCGAGGATTTGTCCAATGGTAAAAAATTATTGTAACTAACCCTCGCAACTGAAAATAATTTTTCCAGAACGATTAGAAATTTTGTAATTTTGTCGAAATATTTCAATCCTTCTCGAATTTTTTTCTCGAAAGTAGGTAGGATTTCGAGGGTATGTCTATTGACCAAAAATGATTGTAATTGACCCCCGCAACCAAAAATAATTTTTCCAGAATGATTTGAAACTTCATTTTCACCGAAAAATTTCTACACTTGTTGACTTTTCTTGAAGTTCGTTTCTGATTTTTAATAAATTTGTTTGACACTGTACGGAAATATTGTCTAATACTTTTTCGTACGTATCCATGAGCTCTACTACCAAAATAAATTTCAATTAAATCCACTCACTATTGTAGAAGTTGTGGGGGTTTGAATATTGGACCATTTTTATGACAGTAAAAACACTCGTTTCTATGGCGTCTGAGTCTCCCAAAATAAAAATAATACCAATCGAGTTAACAAAAACAATTACCTAATTGCGAGAAATATCCCCTCTGCTTTCTATTTTGTGTCGACTGTGACAGAGAATAAATTCCCATTTTCTCACTTAATTAAGATTCGTTTCGTCGACGTCCGTTAATTTCTAACGCGACGAATCGATCAACCTCGACACGGTAAAGTGGCCTTTATAATCATCATCGATTGGTCATTGTCGAAAGTGGGCACACATACGGATTTGCGGTATGAATTATTCGTTACGCTGCATTCGCAAGTGGCTGTTATCCGATATGCATTATACACAGTCCGCGAGTTCATTAAACAGCTTCGATGCGTTTCGCTTTCGCTGTTCATGATCAAGATATTTCGCAGCTAATTCGAAACCCCTTATCGCCAAAAAGGTGATCACGATTAGCCCTGCCTACGATCGATAAACATTTAAATTTCTACCTCTATTTTTCGTCTCCCGCGGATGCAAAATGCAGCATAGCGTTTCGTCGATTGCTCTTCGAAATTTTTTGCAACCACTCCGGGCGAAAGATCAATACGCGAAATCAGCACGACCCCCGAAACCGCCACGCGAAATACAAATTACGCGAATCTTGCAGAAATCGCGTGCAATGTCTGTGCACTTTATTTCGAATAATGGTCACCGCGGAAAAAAGAAAACCGACGCGATGAATTTTTTAAACGCCAGAAACGGTTCGTAATTTCTAATAAAAATCGTGGAGAATTCACTCGTCTGGATTTTAAAAAATTCATCGGTCCAGAGAACGAATAGACTTCCATTTCCCATATTTATATTCGTCTTCACGTTTATTATTTTTTACACATTTTATTGTTTAATTTCTTTGGTAGAAATAAATACACCATGAGCGTTGGTGGCTTCACTGTTAAATCAAAGTGATATTAACACTTTACCGACCGGTAGCGGTTGATTAATCGGCTATCGGTCGGTAAGCGTTGGTCGGTAAAGAAGTTGATTAATACGCTATCGGTCGGTAAGTGTTGGCCGGTAAAAAAGTCGATTAATAGGCTATCGGTCGGTAATGTGTTAAAATTGATTAAAATTTCTATACTACTGTAGAATTAATATATATTTGCTTAGCGTTTTGATTAAGTTCGAGACTTTCTACTGTGAGACCTTCGAACGACCATTCCAACGTTTAACTAGCATTGTTTCATTAGAATGTTAGACGGCACAGTTCCATTGTTGTATGTCTTGCAATTATCATCTACATATTTAAGCTACAGTTGGAATCTCCAGAGAACTGTCCTAAGAGGTCCCATAAGCGGTATTACGCGTGGAATCCGGTATTCCGTCTGTGGATTACGAAATCAGAGATCAAAATTCGTATAATAAATGTACAACGATCAAATCGGTATCTTAATTCGAACAGTTTTCGATTTTCTAGTTTAGAAATATCTCGAAAATTGCAATCGTTTTAAATAATACAAATACTTCGTAACACAGACTTCGTCGAGGTTGTAACATGCTTTGGCGGAATAAAATTATCCTTCAAAGAGAACGCAGACTTCTCTTGCTCGCTGAATATCAACGGAATAATGACAGACATTGTGAGCTGGTGAAGCTTCGACAAAAGCTTTTATTTTCGTGTATATGTTACCGTGAATGACCGAAATTGGAGAATGTCAACTTTCACCGGTGAATGTCAACAGATACCAAATACGTCGGTGAAAGATCGAATATATCATTACATTGTTGTACATTCGGACCCTCTCCGGTGTGCGTCGACAATCACAGATATGCTCTGGTGGAGGTCCAAAACAGAAGAGTCAAAAAACAAGCGACTGGCTCTCTCCCTCCAAATCCTTTGTTCTGCTCGGAGCCAATCAGCTTTGTCAGTCTTATGCAAGCTTTGATAACGCGAGCAACGTTTTCTTAAGTTTTTTTCCCGATACCCTAATTTATACTAAATGGATACTGCAGTAAATCGTGATCTTTTTCTAACCCAGACCTAACCCAGACCTAACCCAGACTTAATTCAGACTTATTCCAGACCTAACCCAGACTTAACCCCCGTTATCAGCGATGAATTGGCCTGGGTT